CCCCCCCCCCCCTCTCCTTAAGATTCACGGTGGATAGATAGGGGCGATCCAATTTTACATTTTTACTGAAGTATATTCAGCAAATGTCTTCGATCTTTCCCGTCTAAAAGATCTGTCTTCATTCATTTATTAATCTTCTTTTTGGAATAAACGTTATCAAACGAATATTAATCAAGAGTTATCTCGAAATTTTTCCAAATTAATAATAATACCTCACTTTCTTTTTTTTTTTCTTCACCCTCTCCTCGAAATCCTTCCAAAAACGTCTCCACGAAGAGAAATATATCGTGCCTGGTCACACGAATCAATTACACCTCCCATTGTATCCGCACAAAGACTCAAATTTCTCCACAATTCTCCAAAAATCAAAGCGAAAAGAGAGAGACTTAGAAGAAGAAGAAAAAAAAAAAAAAAGAAAGAAATCACGAAGAAAGCGTCGAATCGCAAGGAAAAAAAAAAGAAAAAGTCAAAATCCGCTGTTAGGTGACGGAATCGGGAAGTCGTCGATAAAACTGGCTGCCTCTCGGTCGCTTTTTTTCGGTCTGATCCACGCCAGCAGGGATGGGAAAAGAGTTTCATTGTCGCGGAGGGTTTCAAACAATGGCCGATACAATGGCGATATATACACACATCGGTATCGTCAATTGTGCGTCAGCGCAGCCCGGCTATTTTTCTTTCCTTCCATTTATCCCCGCCGACAATGCCCTCTAACGAATCGCCGCCCTTTTAATATCCGAAATAACGGATTTTTCGCCCGAGAAAACGATTTTTCAACGATTATCTTCCACTCTCGGATGGAACGTGCACGCTCCTCCTTGATCCTTGTGTAATGCTCGTTTTTACACCGTCCACGTTGCGCGAGTCACAAGCTAGCTTTTCACGGAAGTATCGTTGACATTCCTGTGTGTGTGCGTACAGTCCGCTTCATAAACGGCGGTGAATGCAAACTTTCAACCTGTAGAAACGAGGCAAGTTTTTTTTTTATACAATCTGATTTTTTTTGCTCCTTGGCTTAAACACCATTCGGCCGGGTATGATTGCAAGAAACGTAGAAATTCGAGTATTTACGTAAGATTAATTCGTTAACGGCCCCACAAACTTTTTCTTTCGTGTGTACTACACATTTCTTTTTGTTCGTTTTTGTCGTAAAAGTGATCTCCACGGGCGTCCAAGGGCTTGGAAGAGGGCCAAAAGGGATTTACAGGTGTGAGATGGGTTTCCGCCACTCGAGTCGGTGTACAAAGTGCATGCAAATTTTCTATAGGGCCCCGCCGAACGTTTCATTCGTTTGTTCGACCCGATTTCGTGTATGGCGGCCTCTCTGACACGCGATACTTCCAATTCGAAACGTATTTAGACCGGGAGAGAAGACCGGTCGCTCGAAAGCTGCTAATAGAAATTCCCACAAGGAAAAAGGGCTTCCCTCTTTGCCTCTAAGAATTTAAAAAAAACTTACACGCTCGATCGATCTTGGAGAAAGTTTATGTTCCTTCTTTATCGATTACTTTTATACAAGTGGATAATCAGTGCGAAGGAGAATTAAAAGAAAAAAAACTTCCTTCGAAGTTTGCAAAAATAAAAAGTAAAGAAAGTTACTCGAGGTCGAGGTAACTCGAGGGAGAAAGGAAGAATCTCTTCTATCAATTTAAAGAGAAGAAAAATTGAAAATGAAATGCTCGCCGATACGGCATTTGGCAGGGAGATACGGGAGGAGAAGGACCAAGGAGGAATCGAAGGTGGAGGAAGAGGCTCTCGAGGAAGCTTTGGAGAACGCGGGCGGAAAGTGGAGAGGAAAGGAGAGAGAATCGTTGGGAACGGGCGTGCTCGCTGCTCGCGCATTGGTGCACCGGTGTGTGCGATGTGTGCAGAGTCGCCATGTTGAATATCCCCACTTCCGCTCCACGTGTCGTACACCTACACACGTGTCGAGGACGCGATACCGGTCGCAATATTATCGTTTACACGGCGAGGGGCGAGAAATCGGCGCCGTCCCCGCGATGGAGACCCGTCTGCCCTGTGTTTAAACCCCCCGAATTGAAGGAACAGCGATGATCTTTTGTTGTGAATTGTGCGGCTACAGAAAGAGCCAGCTGAGGGAGGGTTTTATCGGAGGAAAATTATGATATTGAAAAAACGTTCGATGTTTCTTTGGGATTTTGGGAGAAATTGTAGAGGAATTTGTTTTTTGAAGCTTTGAAAAACGAATGTTCTTTCTTAAGAAAATTCCAAACGGTAAAATAATTATAACTGGATTATAAATTTTGAAATATTTCATGCGTGACGACCAATTTAATTTAATGAATTGAAATACCAATTTTTTACCAATCTTTTTTAAATACCAATTATTTCCGTATCATTGAGCTCGAGAACATGAATGAAACTATTAAAATCTCATTTTCCTGGAAAATGTGTGCAATAATAATAATGCAGTCAAGAGTTCAAACTTTCAAACTTGAAAGTGATGACGGACGGAAGTAAATTGTTTCATCACAATTTCTCGAATACACGAAAGAAAAATAATGTTTAATTGTTATTTTCGTAAAAAAAAAAAAAGTTTTTATATTATACTTTTGAAAAAACTATCGAATAATTATATATATGGATTTCACAGAGAATGAAAATTGCAAAGTACTCGAGGAGCTCTGGTTGCAATTCTCCAGCAAAAAACTAATCAAACGATTATTTGCAGTGTAATTTCAGTGTGAATTCGGAAAAGGGATAGTAATCATCGAATTTGCAACTTTTCTCAATCATTCGCTTATTTCCTCAATATTATATATTACTTAAGTTACGACATGGAAATGGAGGAATTGATGAATAAAAAACTTGTAAAAAACTTTGAGAGAAGAAGATAAGAAAATGACGTAGAATAATAACAATTAATCGAAACACTAATTTTCTTTAAAAAAGATAATTACGAAACAATTTCTCAAGAAAAACACATTCGTTATAACGGAATAAAAGTCTCCAATTAATCACCGAATATTCGTTGAAATAACGAAGGAGGAGACGAATTTCGATCGATCCTCTCAAGATTTCTCACCTGCGAAGTTTCGAAATAGCTGGTTCGATCGTCGAACAAGTTCAGAACACGAGCCTGAACACAGGCATTAACGAAGGACACTTCGGCATCTCAGGTTTCGCGGCTCGGGTCGAAGAAAGTGTCGCTTTGTGCACGCTTTGACACCTTAATCGCTCGATTACGTCCACAGTGGTTCCGTGTATGCGATCCATCCGAGTAATTACCTCGTCGCGGATCGATTAGAGCCGATTCAGGGAAACGAGACACTTGTACGTGACAATCGTACATCATGGATCCCTCTGGAAAAAGATCTTTCCACACTTTATTATTTCCTTTATCATCGAGAATTAAGTTGTCATTTGTTTGGGAAGGAACTTCGTTTATTCCCCTCTCTCACAACGATAATAACTTTGTGGATATATTTTATCCGTGAACTTTGTATTTGCTTTAATTATCGTACTAATCTGAGATCTGGTTTAAGCAACATGGCGCAATTTAATCGATTTTGGTAATGTTACACGTTTCTTGATCTCGTATATATGTGTGTGTGCGTTTCATAAACACATCAACGAAATGATGATTCAAGCAGAAGATTCGACTCGACGACTGTTAGTAGCTCGTTCAACGTCTCTTCCCTCCACTTGGAGTTATCACCCCCTTTGTACCGAATACCAGTGTACAAAGTCACGTGTCGGCGAAACGAACGCGTTATTTCCCTCGATTTCGTCCCCCTGGAACCCTTCTTCCCCAAACGAAAGAGAAGAAAGCGTTTCGATGACGAAACGAAGGAAAGGAGAGGAGGAGAAGGAAAGAAAAAAAGCCCTGGTGGAACGAAACCTAGTTAGCCGGCGGAGTGGGGGTGAGACGGCGGAACGACGGGCGGAGGAGTGGGGGGAGGGAGGGAGGGAGGCGAGAGGGGAAGAGAGCGCGTAGGGGTAGGGGATCCAGACGTATTAATTAAACGGCTCATTTTCATCGCACGACAAAAACGTGAGTTTAACGCCCATCGGCGACTAATGCGTCGCCCCACGGCAGCTCGTGGATAAGGGGTAGCGTGGCCAGGTTCCGACCAGCGAGTTTCAACCACGGCCAACCGTCCAATCCTGTCGAGGCTGGGTGTACGCCTAGCGTGGCTCCTCGTAACTTCGAGTACCGCCCAGCTCCGCTCGATCCTCTTGCCCCCACTCCGCTACGTGGGCCGAGGTGGTGGGGACTGGAAGCGGCTCGGCACACCCCCCACCACCATCCAAGAGCGCCTCGTTTAGCCTGTAATTTGCTCAAACACTAGCAAGCTCTCGTGCCAGAAACATCCGTCAGAGAGCCCGTGGTCTGCTGCTCGAGTCTCGAGATACGCTTGTTGGGGCCCAGCACCAGTTGGCTCTGCTTCTTTTTTTTTTTTTCCCCCCTTCGACAACTCTCTCGCGCTCGTGTTGTTACATTCCTTCTCGGCCGGTGTAAATTTGGTGCGGCCGCAGGCAAACAGGCTCGATGGAAGAAGAGGCGCGGTCCCGTGATATCGCAGTGTGTGTCGGCCGTGTGAGCTAACCGCTTCGTTTCGTGCCCTTCTCGTTACGTTACAGTGGTGACATTTTTTTCGTCCCGGGGGGATCATCGAGGACGGTTGCCGATATCGGCTGACCTCCGAGTGACGGTTTCTCTTTTTTTCTCTACGAATCGAACGTAGAAAAGACGCCGTGCGACGACCAGGATGAGCAAGTGTTGATCGAATGTGGAACTGAACAATGTTGCGAGTTTCGATAGGGCGTCAATAGAAGAAAGAAAAGTAAAACTTTGGTCGTTGAAAGGAAACGTTAGTGAGTGAGACGGAGACGGCGAACGATGTTTATACCCGACCGATAATTCAACGAGTTTACACACACGCATACACACATACACACGCGCTCACACACACAAACACACACAACCCGAAGGGAAAGGACTGCACGAAGAGAAGAAGAAGAAGAAGAAGAGTCGTGCCAAGAAGGGACAAAAGAAGAGAGTTACCAGTGCGTGGATAAAAGTGCGTTCAAAGTGTTCTCGAGGGGTAACCCGTGGCTGGACGTTTGGCAGGCAAGCGTTCTCGGTCTGGTGAAGGAGCCAGGGCCGAGGCGGGTGCAGGCATGCGGCGGACCTGACTCGGCCGAGGTAGCGTGTTGCAGAAGTGGCCAATCCATCAGCCGGGCGTACGATAATCGTACGATGATGCCGCTCGCGCCGACGCCAATTGTTCCGGTGCCCTCGAAGCCGAAGATCGGCTTCAGCATCGACTCGATCGTCGGCGGTGGTGGGCAGGGGCGGGAGGACCGCCTGGACCGTTTGGAGCGGGTCGAGATCGAGAGGGACGATGGCAGCCCCATGGACGTGGTCGAGGGCTCCTCCTCCCCCCGCACGCGAAGGGTGACCACGAGATCGCCGGGCGCCCACTCGGAGGGCTCCGACCGGCCCGTCTCCCGAAGCTCCTCCGTCGAGTCGTATCCCAACTCGCGGAGGACGCCGTCGCACCCCGGCAGCCACCATCACCACCACGCCAACCACCACGGCCACCATCATCATCTGTCCACGGCGACGCACCTCGACTTCGGCCGCACCACGGTGCACAGCCACAGCGGAGGATCGACACCCAACAACAGCCCCAGCCCGCCCCACAGGATATCGCACGGGGACTCGCCGGTCGGCGCGCACCCCCAACCCCCGCCAGGGGTCGTCAGGCCCAGCCCCAACTATCTCGCGCCGCCACCTGGCGCGGCCACCGCGGCCGCTGTCGCCGCCGAACAGTTGAAGTCCCTTTACGGGCTGCCCGGCCACGGCCCGACCGGGCCCCAAACGGGCCAGACCGAGTACCACACGCAACAGCAACTAGCCCTGGCCGCGAATTTGGCCGCGGCCCAACACTTCCAGGCGGCCAACCTCGCGGTGGCCCTCCAGGCGCATCATGGCGCGTCGCCCCACGGGCCACCCCACGGGCCTTATCCCCATGGCGGCGCGCCTGGAGGACCCCATCCACCGCCGCATCCTCATCAGCCGCCCAGGGACAGCTATCCGCTTTATCCTTGGCTGCTCTCCAGGCACGGAAGGATCTTCCCTCACAGATTTCCTGGAGGTATGTTTATATTTACCTTCTTCTTTTTTCTTTTTTTCCTCCCGTTTCTTCGAGGAGGGAGGGGGACGGGGGAGGAGGGAGGGAGGGAGGGAGGGATGGATGGATGGATGGATTGGGGAGGGAGGGAGGGAGGGAGGGAGAGAGGGAGGGCGGGATCAGGCAGGCTAGGCTATTGGTTTCGTTCGTTCGTTCGTTCGTTCGTTCTTCTCGGAACTGTCGACTCTCGGTTTGTTGATCAGGATCGGGATAATTGGCTGATACGGGGTTGCTTTTTGGTTCAGAGTTTGGATTCGTGACACGTGTCAGTGATGAGGATACGAGGAGTAGTGTAAATCGAAAGGGAGGAGGAGGAAGAGGAGGAGGAGGTTTTCTTTTTTTTTTTTCTTGGGAATCGTGGAATTCCATGTTCGATCACCTGTTTCATAAGAATTGTTGTTAATTGGTTCGAAGTACAAGCTTCTTCCGCTTCTTCGACGATTGTCATATTGCACTCTTATCGTATATTTTTTAATCGTGTTGATTAAAAATCCAAGTTCGAACGATAGTCGATTAAAAATTAGTCGACAATCTTTTCGACAGTATTTTCGACGATTATATTACACTCGATCCATGCCCCATGTTCTAGCTTCTAAAGTGTATCTCATTTCCTCTCGATAGACGGATATATCTACGTACGATATACTTCCTCAATATTATTCCGTTCCTCTCATTATCATATATTTCTTCTTGCACGTTAACGCTATAACGCACATCAATTTCGCATCGGCAAAAATTAAAAACAAATACAGTTATGGATAATGGAACGTTTACAGATAGAGGAGCATTGGAATAGGAAACCCGTTTAGATAGTAGGTGTCCGGATGATGAAGGTTTCATTGTACTCTAAAATTAAATAACTTGGCTCGAACTCTTATGACTCACCTACGATATCAATTCAGAATTAATGGAGAGATTGTTGGTTTCTCTTGGCCCGTTGCGTGAAAAACACGAGAAAACAGAACGGTTCGCTTGCTCGAATTGCGGAAACATCGTGGGAATACTTAAGAATATGCGAAGATTTCCGATTTTTCGCAAAGAGGCAAAATTCACGATTCGAGTCAGAAAGCAAGAAAGATCAATTTTCTTCTTTATTGGTTTCGTGTTGAAACGTAGGTGTGAAATGGGGGGAGGGGGAAAGGTAAAAAAAGAGGATAGGAATAACACCTAATTAGAAAATTAATGTATCTGTGTTCGTGTAACACTTTAACGCCACACACCGAGCTGTAATGTATTAAAATTTATTCATTTTTGAAATTGCAAATTAATCTGATTATCATTCTGTAAATTAATAATTCCTTTTTTTTTTAATTTTTTAATTTCGAACGAGATTATTTCGTGCAAATAGCGCTACGACTTTTTTTTTCTTACAATTATTCCTCAATTATCGAGGGGAAAAAAAAAAGAGAAAAAAAGGAAAAGTCATTTCACGTCAACGTATGTTTTTACTTACTGATCCTTACCTAATCGTAATTATGGATTTTATGGATTACCGATCGTAGTATAATTAATTCGTGATCCACATATATATATATGTGTGTTACTCGACGTTAATTAAAGCCTAATGGATTAAATCGCTTGTCAAAATGTTTCTACTTGCTTATTCAACGCCGCGTTAATTCAAATCCCCTCCCTCTCTCCCTTCCAACCCGTAATATCGGTACACCTATTTATAATAACACGTTTGTCGAAGAAGAAAGAAGAAGAAGAAGAAGAAGAAAAAAAAAGAAAAAGAAAAAGAAATGTTATCGATTCATCAGAGCGACGCGCTAAAATTATTATTCAATTCTTCTCCCAGTGAAACGGAACAACGACGACGATTCGTTACGGATCTCGTCGATCGATTTTAAAATCGTGTTTGACGCAAAATTATCGCTCGAGCGAGATATCGACACGGTTTTTTTTTTTTTTTGCTAGGAAAAGGGGGAAAAAAACGGAGTTCATTTACATGGATAGATCGTTGTCAGTTTGTCTATATTTACTCGCACGCGAAGAATTCTCGCGATTCGCTGGAAGAACGAGCTAACCTCACTTTCTCTCTATTCGTAATTTCTGCTCGTGCAAGAGCGAAAAGAAATCTAAAGGATAGATCGATCGAGATGAGTTCTTTTCTAAACCACGTATTTAAAAGAGAGGGGAATAATTCACGATCGCTTGTGTTCCTTTTTTAATTTTTCAAACATCTTTTCCACGTGATGATTTTAACAGCTTTGAAAATTTTCTGGTCTGGTAATTTGCGGTGTTTTTTTTGGTAATTTCGAGCTCGGAAACGGAAGTTGCTAAGTACATGTGCTGCATGCAACATGCAGTAGTCGAAGAGAGAACATCGTAATCGCTTGATCCTTTCGAATTTTTGTTGATTTTGAAATTTTTTTCTGGTTCGGTTAATGCTTTTGATAATTTGCACAGGAAGTTGATAATCGCGGTAAAAATAGTTTAAATAGTTTCAGCGTTTTGAATTAAGATAACCTAAACTTTTTAAAAGCATATCGATAATCGTAACGTTTTAATTTTGTAGTTATACAATGTGTAATGCGCGATATTCAGAATGCTCGTAATTGGTTTAAGATTAATTAACGTTTTTATGTTAAAATTGAAATTAAATCTCAATTAAATATCTCGAAAACATACTGATAGTGATCTAAAATCCTTTCTGCTCGAATGTATTTTCGATAATCATGTTACAACGAGTTCAAATCAATCCAAAATGTTTTAGTAGCTTTTTAAATTAAAATTCTCGCGAAAGAATCACTCTCTTTTCGATAATTTTCGATAATTATATAACATAATTATTTTGTAATGTATGTATATCTCGCATTATTAGATTATCTCGAAAAAGATAAACAAGAATTAACCACTTTATTAAAATACATTTTCACCCATAACTTCTTTTATCTCTATGATTTATAATATTTTTTCCTCCTTCTACATATTCTTTGAAATAATTTACAAATTTACATACAAGATTACTCACCTCGCCTTTATTATTACCACTTCTATTCAACTTACTTTCCTATTTCTTCCAAATCCAACATATCTTTCCAACAAAAACCTGTATACGCAATATTACACTATGCTATGAGAATCAGTATCCTATCAATCCCCGTATCTCCAATATATAAAACCCAATATATATACTCATTATATCGAACACCATTATCTAATTTGCAACACCTTTCCCCCCAAACAACCCGATATTTATCAAATGGTATTCGTATTCACGTGTTATTATTCGCCTCCATATAAGAGAATCTCTCGAAAATTAGTAATATCCCACATACCTCGCACCTCCTCCGATCCTCCCACACTTTCTCAACATCTTCCAACATTTTCCAAATTACGATTACGAATACATACATATATATACAATTTCACTCGATAATAATAATAATAGTAATAATAATAATAATAATAATAATATTCACCATCCGAAAGGTAAAGGAGGCGTATCTAAACTGTCGATAATTTTCGAGATAACCGGACGATCCGGAGAGAGTTAACTCGTCATTTTCCAAGTTAATGAACCCCAGTGGCGCGATACTCCCTGCTTCCTCGGTATATTCCATATACGGGGACCGGTTCCATCCGTCCGTCCATCCGTCCCAAGCAAAGATCATCGATTTGGTCCCCATGTAAACAAGCGTACTTTATTACACCAACGATCGTTGGTGAACGAGGGACACGCGATAATTACCAGTGCACAGAGTTAGTAAATAAGAAGAGGGACGTGTCCCTCCCCCTCCACCCTCCGTTATTGACGAAAGGGTTATGCAACTTGGGCGACTTTCGTAATGGGAGAGAGAGAGAGAGAGAGAGAGAGAGAGAGAGG